GAGACTGACACCACCTAATCGTCCGTCTCCCGCACTGATTCGCCGGAAACCTTAGGAATGTCCTGACGCACACGGTGCAATTAAAATATGTGACGGGATGGCCGTGACCCATATCTTTTCGAGAATCGATAACGTGGCAAACGGGGAGGTCGTTGTTTTACGAACCATTTGTCTTGTCGATAATTAGCGAAGCCTGGATGTAATGCCGAAGAGCCCGGGACTATTCTTTTGGTTCGTATTTTTGCGAAGAGTATTATTAAGCAAGCTCTCTCTTGATGTACATTCGGAAGCTAATAATAGCTTTATTTCGGGAACACTGAGCGAGATGGATTAAATTTTATTTATCGGCGAACTTCTGACAACAATCGTGGCGACAGCCGCGAGTTGTATACGAAAGTTCTTTGCCATTAAGTACGAAAATGACAGGAAATCATTACGCTCTTAACGACGTATATATGTCGGGAGGTAAATATCGCGGTGCCATCGCTGCGTTACTTTCGTCAGTCTTCTCGGTGACGATTCATCTTCTCTCTTAGAGGAGTGACTCGCAAGTAATGGAAAGCGAATGGCGCGGAGGGAGCAAAAAGAACTCGAATGAAAGAGAGAATATTTACTTATTGAATGTGTGCGTTTACTTCGCGGTGATCCTTTTATGGGGAAACGTTCCATTATGTATGACGTCAGATTAATTTATTTCGGAAATATTCGTATCACTCCATAAATCTGTCAAGTAGGTATTAAAGGGATGCCATACATGAAAATCTTACCGACGAAATACTCATTTTCTCCGCAAAGTATTGATTCCACGGAATTATAGAATTACAGATGCTTTTGTACATTAAATGTATCTATGAAAATAAATTGGAGATATGTGATGGAGACTGTTGCTCGGTATGTGACGCAAACGAGAGAAGGTTTCAAAATCTCTCTCTCTCTCTCTCTCTCTCTCTCTCTCTCTCTCTCGAGCAGTCAGTGCAAATATTTATCTAATACAGCTGTATTCCGCGCCGCACGTATGTTTGTTCCGCTCACGAAAATTAAAAAAAAAAATATTACCGTATCTTTACAAACAAATTTAGAAGCTTAAAAATATACGAAAAGTTTGCAGAAAGATTTCTACGCATGCGTGGTCAAATTTTTCGCCAAATATAGTAAATATTTTTCGCCAAACAAAACAGCACGTATTTATATAAGATCTATGTGTATAGTCGGTTTCAAATCAGTTTGCACATTTTTGCAACACTTCAAGTTGTCAGAATTTAAAGCCATTGTTAACGTGTATGCGCAGTATCAGTTGTGAATATGTAAAAGTCACTTTTCAAGATATTGTTCACTTGATGTAAAGTAAATTCTTTCTTCCAAATTTCATAAATATCATATTTTGCGTTGTCATAATCAATTATTGCGGACATACATTGGGAATGGTTTTCAATTCTGACCATTTCAAATGTTACTACAACTTCATTCGATAAAAAGTGTGCAAACCAATTTACAACCGACTGTACCAAAAATATTGTGTCAGTGTTCATTTGATATGTCGATTTAACGATTGAATCCACGTCATATTTTTCGATATTTTTGGAGTTCATTATCCACTTTGACGTCCCCTTAATAGCATAATTCTTAATTAGGTATGGCTTTAAGCTTTTTTTTAAAAAGAGCATAATGCCAGGAAGAAGGATAAAATTTATTCGTACCTCATACAGACACATCAATTCTTCTCACAAATTTATCAGCGGATCGCGCAAAGAGGATACCGCATGAAGAGGAATATGAAGATCAATACGATAAGAACGACGCGGCACGTGTAGTTTACTTTGACATTAGCCTGGTACATTAGTCCACAAAGGAATATAATTAATGGCATCATCGAGTGTGCGGTCCTCTCGATGCCAAATGAAATCTTCAAGCTGAATGCAACAATGAGATCTGATGAAAGAAGAGCGCGGGTAACTCTTTCTGTTGAAGCTTCATTAGGAATGCGTTAGACTTCCCGATTTTAATGAGGCATGACGATCATTGAGAGCGCGGAAGCTGAGTTTCCGGATTTTGTTAATGGATATCTTCCTCCCGTGGCGGTTTGCAAATTATGTAATGGTACACGGAAAAAGAAGATTTGGTTGAATTAACCAAATATCTGGTCGAATATGAACGACCCAGAAATTCCGATTGAAATAAGCCGAGTTCTGTTTAATTTAACAAGATTTTTGGTAGACTAATCAGACATTTGGTTTGGTTAGTCTACCAAAAATCTTGTTAACTTAAACAGAATTTGGGTTAATTCGGCTTAATCGGAATTTCTGGATCGTTCATATTCGACCAAATATTTGGTTAATTCAATCAAATCTTTTTTTCCGTGTATTAATACCCGTTTCTCCGCGGGTCGAGAAGCTTTTTACAATTTTCAGGAGCTATTAATATCTAGTTATGAGATACTCGCTAGTGAGCTTTATGCACGTTCTGTAAAAAGTACATTCCGTTATTATAATGTACCTATGTCACGGGAAAACTGTCATTCTGTGGACGAATCAAGAAAGAATACTTTTGCGAAATGGATTGATCGAAAGATATTGTGAAACTTATAATTTAATTTGTCCGCCGTCCCGCGCACACACACCAAAGTTTAATTGTTCGTTAAATTAATTATTTAATTAGCGCCTTTGGCGTTCCACGGCATACTAACACGTACTGAGAAATGCTCAGGTAAAAATTGTCTTAGCATTATTCTGGAAATATTAATGTTTCCTTTCAACAATTAAAAATGTGGAAACGAAATTTTGCAGCGCGAGATATAAAATCTTTGGCTTTTTTAAATTATGAAGTTTTGAAACATCTAACTGGAGAACATCTAACTGGAAACATCTAACTGGAAACATCTAACAATGGAGAAAATGTTGTAGTAAAATGTACAAAATCTTTGTAATCTTGGACAGAATTATAGCCGAAATTACTACATATTCGTTGAAAAATGTTCACAAACGTTTGACTTTCAACTGCAAAGTTATTGTAATTACTTGAATGTTTCTTATATCGTATATCAAGCAAGGTATCAAATTTACTGTTTCTACGGTTTATGATACAATTATATACCATAATTTCAGCTTAGTTCAATTTTACAAAAAATATAATTAAAAATACAAAACATAATTTTAATATAATTTTTACTACACCATTTCCTAAGTAACAAATGTAAAATAGCTTACATCATTACTACGCGAATTATCAATATGTAATCGAGCACACAAAATGTTGATAGTTAGGTGTCAGTCGATCGTTACGACATTCATATGCTCATTAATATGACCCAAATAAATCACGACTTCATGTACTGACAGTGACTTGACTGGCACTGATTGCGTGAGAGACTTAAGAGAGGAAGGGAGAGAAGTGGAGAGAGAGGGAGAGAGAGTTGTGTCAAATGAAATATTGACAGTATTTATATTGACAGCAATATTGATCATACAAGAGCCCTTCGGAGGACAAAACATGTAACTACATTCGCGCGAAAATGATTCAAGCGCTTTGAAGGACAAAAGAGAAAACTACCGGAGCTACGTAACAAGTGTCGGTGTACTTTGCCACGTGCTTTCGACCGCGTAATTTGTTACTTTTAATCCAACTTTTAATCACATCTCTATTATTTTCGCTACCTTTCTCCTCACGTTACTGTTTTTCCACACGAGAACTGGATTGTTATTTGTGCACAAGCTATATAAACGGAATTTGCGCGCGCTTCTATATTTTGGACGAAAACCAGTGTTGCCATTGTATTTATTACTTTTCTTTTTTTCTTTTTGTCGTTAACTTTGCTCACATTGTTGTCCGCATGTTGGTTATCTCAATTACCTAAGCAAAGCAGTCAAAGAGAGAGATAGAGAGAGAAAGAAAGTAGAGTAGAATAGTTTATCTGAGTAGAAACCCTCTAAAGTTTTTAATATTTGTAAGTACAACAAAATAAAAATTATCAATTAAAAGAAATAAAAATTATCAATATAAAGAGAGGAAGAAAATACACAGAAAAGGAAAGAGCAAAACGGAACGAAGAGAGAGAAAGAGAGAGAGAGATTGCGCTAATGTGGGCTAAGTTTCTGCGTCCGAGGGACGTGAGGGACTTCTCAACGCCTGTCGTTCAAACGACGAAGATTTCTTTTTTTTTTCCGGCACCGCTTTACCGCGGTACAGCTTTATTTTTCCCGATATTTCCCGCGGTCCCACACACGCGCGCTCTCCCGCGATATCCATGATTTCCGCGATTCTGCCGCGCGACTTTGCGTAGGAGTAGTACACCCCCGTCAGCTGTCTGATATTACGGAAATATCGTGTGGATCTCGGTGCCGGGGGATTCCTCTAGATTTTATCGCACCGGCGCATCGTTTCGGGCTTTTCGATGAAGGACACTCTCGGCCACTTGTGACGACGCTGAACTGTGAACTTTCGGGCCGAAAAACTACACCGCACGGCTCAGCGCGGGAAGCGCGCCGATAAAATTCGACGGGGAGACTCATGGACCGGTGTTAACCGAGGCGTCGAGGCGGAATATCCGATCGGCGAGATTGTGCCGAGAGTCGTAGTTTTGTTACAGACGAAATAGCACGACACGAGAGTCAGCGCCGCGTTTTTGAAATAAACCAAGAGGACCGCGCCGACGAAATGATCGATTTCCGAGTAAGTTCAGGCTCGACCAATTTGACCGCGTGTTGTATCCCCGACCGATCTCCTCATCCTCTCACAACGCCGACAACTCGCCGCTCTGTATGCGAGACGTGCAGATTACGCAATCGTGTATAATTATAGAGGCCACTGTCGAACACTGTTCAGCACTTCGCTCGAGATACCCGCGGCGCTTTTAATCGACTCAATTCGCGGCGCGTCGGCGCTTCTTCGGCCCTGTCGCAGATCGCAATCGCGCGTATAACTGTGATGGAGGTCGAGGACAGAGCTGTCCACGTGGTGTCGGCGCGCGGAATCGCGATCGCTACATTCGCACAGCCTCGAGATACCTCAGCGCACCGACTCAGAGACCGCTGCTCTTCGCATCTCTCAGTATTCTCTCTCTGTCAATACTGGTCTGTCAATACCGGTCTGTCAATACCGGTCTGTCACCACTGATTGCACTACGACGAGCTTTGCCTCTTCCCCAACGTGAATCAAAGAACGAGGATACGAGGAGCGGAGGCGCGCGGCGGCGGCGGCTTCTGGGAGTCTGCGGTCGATGGATGATTCCGATTTCGATTGCGGGTGATAATCGCGATTTTCGCGTCCGTCCGAGATCTCCCACGGCTCAGCTCGCGAAATTCCGCCTGGACTGGGGTTGCTCGCGACGTGAATGCTAGATGAATACTGAGGCACGTCACACAACGGCCGCCGGGTTTCAGCCCCCTTCTACGTGTGCTCGCCCTCTCATCCCTCTTCCGGACTCCGCTCCACTATCCCCTCGCTCCATTCCCTCATCGGGTGCGCATCCACCCACGCAACTGTTGCGCCCCCGTCCGTTCCTGACCGCATCCCTCGGCGTCTCGCTCGGCTAAACGCGTGCTGGGAACGATCGAGCCACGTGGCTCACGATCATTGATCGCGATCGAGCGCTCGATCGCGACCAAGTGTTCAGCTAAACTCTATTAAATTAGCGACCGACCGGCGGGCCGCTATCGCTGACGAAGTTAACAGCAATATCGCCACTTAAAAGAATTAATTAAATATATTCCGACGTTTCGCGAGCTATGTCGCGCGGCGCCGCTATGAATTTCATTAAACCCCGTCACTTTTGGAACGAGCGAGTTGCTCTCAGGACGGATCGGTCGCTCGGACGATTTATTAACTTCGAACGCGGGACTAAATTTTCGCCGATTATGATATGCACTGGATTTACTGAGTAAATGACGAGGCATTTACAATGTTAAGTATGTATATATTATATATATATATATATATATATATATATATATATAACTTACGGAGAGTAATGTTGCACAATTCACTCGCGTCAGGCGATGTTAAAAATGTTGCTTCATAAGCTTGTGAGTTACCATGAGTTACTATATTATTATATAGCATATCAAGCGCGTGTGTACATTATTATTATTAATCCATAATTAAGTGAGACCGCGTGTTTTCCCGCCGAGCACAACTTTGTTATTATGTTATCTACGATTCTCAAACACACACATCATTAAATAATTCATTAGAAACCTAATGAATAAGAAACTAGCGATTGCCGATTGACAATTGGCGATAGAAGATTAGTTTTCAATCAATTAAAGTAAAGTAGCTACTGACTGTCTTGCTCTGATTAGTTAAATACTAATTGCCAATTGTCAATCGACAATCGTTAGTCTGATTTGGGCTTTAGGAGATTTCTATTCAAGCCAGTTGCTCTCAGTTATCTCCGTCGAGTTTTAATGCAGCCGAATATTTTCGATTAATGGTAACGGAGATATTATCCCTCATCAGCGTCAAAGTTTTCCCTTCAGTGCTCGCATTCAGTTATACGAATTGACACTTTTTTCCGTGTAAAAATACGCCTACTGGCAACTGCAATTTTAGATATTTATATGTCACGACGAGATTCAGCTACAACACACAGGTTCTTGCTGCAGCAGCCAACTTTTTCTCCCCGCGTACTTTTGAGATCGGAACTTTCTAACATCTGTACATTCTGAAAAATCAGTGTATGTTCAATACACGTGGAAACTAAAGTCTTACTTAGCGCCTTTAAATAGCAGAAAACATACATTTTTAAGTTCTAAAGAGAATCTCACGATAAAGTTAATACACGAAAAAAAAATTTCCTTACCGCGCAGCTAATCATGGTTTGTTGAAAATGTATTTTGCTATTATAACCTTTTACTGCTATTGCTACTACATTGGTTTTAGCTGAATAAATGCTTACTGACAGTTATACTTTTAGATATCCATATACTTCAAAAGAAATGTTTTGCTGGTCCAAGTAGAATTCTATAAATGCCACAGTTAAAATTTATCGCTGCTTTTGTAGCTGTTAGAAAATTGTCTCTTAGAATTTATAGCAGCAGCATTCTAACAATATCTGCAAGCGAATTTAGGCGGATGTGAAAACTATACATTCGTTTGCCTCTCGTTGTTAGTTTTTTCTAGAGTCTTGACATCGCCGACTTCTTTCTGATTAATCCAGTTTCTTATTTAATCGAAAAGGGTGGAATAGAGGATCATGAATTAAGAGTTTCCATTTGGATAAATTTTTATGCGAAAAAGAAATTACACGTAATACTAGTTTTTTAATATAAAATAAACATATTTTTAAGAAAACAACAGTTATTTACATTATACTAACAGAGATTTCTTGTGGAGGTTATTTAGGTTATTGAATACACACCCTTCATATATAAAATTTTTAATGACAAACCGATTTCGATAAGAACACCGATTTCGATCGAAGAAGTCGCTGATGTCCAGATTCTTACTTGAGGGACTCTAGTTTTTTTTTCTACTACGGTCAATTTTTATAAGAAGTGTGACTACCTTTAATCCGGATGGGCGGATTTCACAGAGACTTTGTTATTAAATTTCAAATGGTTCAAGTAGGAATTCTGTCTAACTTAGGTTTTATAGGTTAGTGCTAGTTATTTATCTATCTATCTAGCTAATTTTTTGTATCCAAATAATTCCCGCTATAACTGCAAGATCATTCTCTTTTGAGTATATGTTACAATGAGACTTAACTACCATACACAGATTCTTACTCACCCGTTTTGCAGTTGGCTCTGTTTTCCGTGTAAGTTAATAGAATCAAAAGAGGTCGATATAAGTTTCAGAGCATCAAATTGGGCGTTCAATGTAATGTTGATAAATTTCGACTCATGAGATTCGCGGCAGCGATTACGGGGAAACGGCAGAGCGGGCTGTGAAAAATGTGCTAATGGATTTCTTATAAGCGCGACTAAAGACCGCCAGGCGTGTGTCGATGTAGCAAGGTCGTCGACGACGATAACGCACGCCGCACTTTGTAAGCTCGGCTCGAACGATGCATAAAACATCTCGGCGCACGTAGCCCGCCTTCGCTTCTCCGCCAACTAATTAGTCTGGATTTATTAACGGCAGTTTTGCAACAGTCGTTGGATTCTTACGGGCGGTCTTCTGTCGAGGGCGCTTAATTAATTACACTCTCGTAGGGCGACGTTGGTAATAATGCTTTCCTAATTAGCCGCGTTTGCGCGCGAAATACCTACGAGTTCGCAGCCAAATGCGAGGAGGAGGAGGGAGAAGTCGGCAGCGAAAAACGAATGAGAGAAGTGCGCGCAGTTAGAAAGCTCTCGATCGAATTATTTTATATCGCCGTCGCACGAAGAAGAGAGAAGCGCGCGCACTGGCCGCGACTGAGTTTTCAAATAAAATATCGAACATTGGCGCAAATATATACATACATATATATATATATATATATATATATATATATATATATATATATATCTCGCTCGACTAGACTTAGGTCCGTATCGTTCTCCGAGCTTCGAGTATTTACCTGCTTGCATCCGCGCCTGTTAAACTTGGCATTGATCGATTGACGTCGAATAAATTTTTCCGTCCCTACGTGCAATGCCAGACACCGCGGCATATTCGCGCCATATAACCGCCACTCGTAAAATCAGCAAAATATTTCTCTGAGCGTAGCCAGGAATACGTAATTATTTTCCTGCTGCCTCCGTGTGCGAGAGTCCGTTTCGCGCGCTCTCGCGCTGAGAAAAACCTCTTTTACATATCGCTCGATCCACCGGCGATTATATTCGAAATAATTGCTTTCCCGAGGCGAGTAACCGAAATTACTCGTCGCGACAAGTACAGGCTCCCACGAGATAAAAACATGAGAAAAGGAGGAGTCGCGGGATGCGTTTGAACGTGCTTCTTTTAATCAATTTTTGTCTGGTAACCTTGGAGTATAAATTATTGTGTCGAAATTAGCGATATTTTTCTTATCGTACTTATCAAATAACAGATTTACTACTAGATAATCATAGATATAGATAACAAGCTTCTAATAATTCGCTGTTGGAATATTTGGAATTTGATCTCGGAATTTGATAAAATCTCCGTTTTGATCATACAAATTTAAAACGATATGACTTTTGTGAGATTAATTTTCGATGATGAAAACAGGCATATTTTGAATTGTCGTATTATTGCGAAGAGAGCTAAATATTATTTTTACACGTGCCTTTGCATTGAAATCTTAATTTATCGTTGCCATAACGACTTTAATTTCTGTTCCTTGTGCTGCTAGAAAAGTGCGAAATAGCAGTATAACTGTTAATGAAATTTTTCAATATGAAATCATCTTCGGTGATTTCTAGATATCTTTGAAAGTTCGATATATTGTGTTAAAGGATAAAATAGAATTGAGAATTGTGTAACTTAAATTCTTAAGAATTATGTGTATCTCTTATCTAGATATTTGTGCGTGATAAATTTCCTATCTCTTGTTACTTACATTTTGTTCCATTAACAACACTCTAAATGTGTACAAAAGTCGCGTATTGATAAAAAGAGATAATTCATTTATTGACATACTTTCCAAATTGTATTTTCAAGTGATAGGGTTGATTGTATACAGTTTATATAATTCGCGTAAGAATATTTACTGGGATAGGGTTGATTGTATACAGTTTATATAATTCGCGTAAGAATATTTACTGGTAAATAAATAAGCCAAATTTTACCATCAAATCATAGATTTGTTAATTAAATTATACGGAAAAATTACGTATAAATTATATATTCTTGTGAATGTGTAGGCAAATAAATACTTGTTCTTTTTTAATTAAAACATGTCCAAAAAAATTTAAACAGGTTGTAAGGTTCAGTATCGTATTTTCAGTGATGCATAAAAGAAGGTATTATTAATAAACTTACTATATATATATATATATATATATATATATATATATATATATATATATATATATATATATATATATATATATATATATATATAGAGAATATTATAAATACGAGAAATATCATGTTTTAATTTCTCTTATTAAAATACTCAATTCGCACATCAATTAATTTAATAGAAATCTAGAATAGATAATGGAAAGAGATATATAGATATTTAAATATGTGTACATGAATATGTATTTCAAGTATCATTATAAATTGTAAATTTTCCATCGCTCTGTACTTTCCAACAAAACAGTCACTAATTTCGAAATTTGTGTATTATGTCGGCATATCTTTAATATCGTAGAGTTTTTCATTAAAACTTTAATATTAGTTTACGAAAAGTGAAGAATAGAAATTAGAAATGGCACGTCAGCTGCAAGGGACACGTATGAAAAATGTTAACTTTAGTTTCAAATAACTCAACTGTCGAATGGTGAATTCTTTTCTAGTTACACGAGCAGTTAGATAATATTTCAATTTACGTGTAATATATGTTTCAATGAATTCTGAATGAAGTCACTTTACATCACAATCTCCTTGAGAGGCAAATACTCTTTTCGTACTGGCGGAAATGTTGATCTGTTTGAAATGATAGCTTCTACGATGAGATTATGAATTAAAATTAAAATTTATTTCCATCGCCTTTTCTATCGGCTGCTTTAAGCGGGAATAGTCTCTCTGAGTCGAGCGCATGATCTCGGACCGTGCGACGACGTGCGACGTTCCCCGACAATTTCATGAATAATTGAACGTGTGCTTTAAGCGGACCGTGACGTATTGGCGAAGTATCGGTTCGTCCCGCAAACAGAATATGCTAGCCGACCGTCTGGACTGCTTGATTGATTAACAGTTTGCGTTGAATTTTCGAATGTTAAACCGCCCGGCTGAGAGTGTTACGGTGCGATTTACTCGCGACACAGATGGAGTAATACGGCTGCGTTTCAATCGGGTGAAATGACAAACGTCATTTTATCTAAACGTCGTTTAGGATACATTTTTCTTGGAAAAGTGGAAAGGTCAAGCTGTATATCTTTGAACTTATAGATCACGTTACTTTTACTTCTCGTCGAGGCCGTGAATTTCGCGAGATGCTGCGAAAAAAATATCCTTAACGAGCAAGATTTCACAAACTGATGTGGCAGGCATCAAAAATCGCGAGATCGCGCGGGAACAGCTCCCATGTCCTTCATAAAAGAAACAATTATGAGTGTGCATAAGTGTCGTAGCGTGAAATGTTTTGCTTGAATATTAATACACCACACAGCCGATACTTGTCGAGGATCATCGGCGAGAATTCGTCGTCCAGGCACGGCCAACTGCGAGCAAGACTTATGGTATACGTGCGCCCACAGACACGCTTTCTTCATTTGTATTCCGCGAGGGAGAAACATGATAGGGCGCAATGGGGAAATCATCACAAAAGAACCTTGCAGATAAGCCACGCTCACCTTGACGCAGCACGCGTCGTGGTCTATAAAAGAGCGGACGCACCTCGCGGCCCAATCAAACCATACGAAATGTTCCGCTCGATCGTCGTCTCGCTCGCGGTCCTGGCGCTCTTGCAGGCGGCCTTCGCCGTCATCGACGTCTCCAAGACGAAGAACATCGAGATACGATTCACTGACGAGGATGTCGTGCCGAAAACAGCGTTGGTGAGTCAGTACGAGCTGTCAAGTATACTGTGGTGCATTTCGAGATAATAAGATGTAAAAAATCTCGTATACAAATGTTAACATTTGCGTTACATCAATTTGCTCTTATTATTTTAATGTAAAATTAACATATAACTGTTATTCTTTCCGTGACATTAATGTCAACTTCATAACTTAACATTTTTTTATGTCGCTTTTAGAAGTGAAATATTACTTTGTTTTAACACAATTATTACAAAAAATCAACTTTTTTTTAAAGTCGTTTTGATAATAAAAATAAAAAATAAAAAAATGCATTATACATATCTGTGTGTTAATTTAACACACGTTTATGCTTTTTTATTCAATATACGTCAGTATTCAAATAATACTTGTATTAAATTTACATATTTTATACTCTAATGCAGATTAACATATTATAGATATTAATTGTACTGAAAAGTTATGTTCTTGTCATTTTACGATATACACGATATGATATGTATACGATATGAAGTGGTATACTAAGTGACGTAGGCGACCTTTGAGAGTTAGAGTGCTTCCGAGTTCGATCCGTGGCAAGTTTTTCAAATATATCAGATGAATTGAATTAATTAAGTGCCATATATTTTTTAAGATTTTAGATAAAATCATAGACAATATCTCTCTTAAAAGCAATATAAAAAAGAAGAAATGATAATTAGAATATTTTTTTAGTGTGAAAATAATACTTTTTGCTGTTACATTTGACATTCTATACATATACCAATTTTATATAGAATCTGCTTCCAGATAGTGTTTGTGTTAATTTTTTTACATCTCTGTATTTTTTTTATATTCGCTTTGTATTAAATTAACACGAAAATTTGAGTAAACTTTCTGGGACGCGTGAAAGACGTTGAATTCAACGTAAAATTTTTTATCGTACATGTGTATCTGTGTGTAAATGTCCGAGTATATAGTACAATGTTATCTCTTTTCTCTTTGAAAGACGTGTAACATGTACGCGTGATTGCGGAAATAAGGTTTGACACACTTTTTCTTCGATGCGCTACAGAATGCGACCGATGTCCAATAGAAGAATTTGTTTCTGAGAAATTCTTAGAGAACAGGTTTTCTCATTCGATATCCGATGCGTTCTGAAATGTATCAAAAATAAATGTGTGAACTTTTTTGTCCGCGACCGTAAAACAAATTGTAGAATATATGTATATGATATACGTGTTATAATATCATATAGTTTTTTCTTTTCTCACACATACACATAAATTCTTTTTAATTTTATGTTTCTACTAGTATAGTACATACGCATCGTCAATAAGATCTATCTTGTTAAAAAATATAACAATTTTTTTAATAGCACGTTTTAGTTCTTAAAGTATAAATAACAAATATGAGATGAAAGAATAACAAATTACTGCAGTGTGTCGATATACTCCTCGGTTATAAAATTCTACAGTAATGTTTATTTCTATGGTAATTCTTTTAAATACTATATATATATATATATATATATATATATATATATATATATATATATATATATATATATA